TATTTCACCTAATCCTCAAAGTAAGGAGGCAGTAATCCATAATCCTCGCATGGAACTTCAGAGGCAGGCTGGACCCTTTTTATTTTTTATTTATCTTTAATTTTTTTAGCAGAGATAGGGTTTTGTCAGGTTGGCCTGGTTGGTCTCGAACTCCTGACCTCAAGCGATCTGCCCACCTTGGATGGACTCTTTTAAGGGGGCCTCTGCCCTCATGAAGTTCACAGGTGTGTGCTGGCTGAAAAGGAGCAAAGACAAATCTCTGAGCCCATCTCCTTGGAATCCATTAAAAGCAGCTCTGTGAAAGCAGTTCTATCTGCTGGAGGAAGGTGTCAACCAACACACGTAACTGAGCATAACAGAGTAGGAAGGGTGGGACCACAACCCTCGCAAATCGTGGTTAGGAAAGAAGAGATCAATCTTTTTTTTATTTCTTTTTTTGAGACTCTCTCTGTTGCCCAGGCTGGAGTGCAGCGGCATGCTCACTGCAACATCCGCCTCCCGGGCTCAAGCAATTCTCCTGCCTCAGCCTCCTGAGTAGCTGGGATTACAGGAGTCCGTCACCGCATCCGTCTAACTTTTACATTGTAGGCAGAGATGGGGTTTCACCATGTTGGCCAGGCTGGTCTTGAATTCCTGACCTCAAGTGATTCGCCCACTTCGGCCACCCAAAGTCCTGGGATTCCAGGCGTGAGCCACTGCGCCCGGCCCAGGATCACTCTTTTCCCATTTCACAGACTCAGTAGTGCACAGAGGCTCTGAGAACTTCCTTCCCTTCTAAAAGAAGCCTCTTGACGGTGAGTGGCGGGACCCCCAACCAGTGACAATGAACTAGTGACAGAGTCCATTCTGTGCTGGGTCCTTGCGCGATCTCCCAACCACCCACTGAAGAGGCGGGTCCTGTTACCAATGACATTAGGGTGAGGAGGCAAAGGGAGACAGACTCAACGACCCATTCAAGATCAGACAGCCCAGATTTGAACCTGGCAAAGAGCGTATTCATGCATCCAAAGCCCCGAAGAATGGGTAAAAAGATTAAGAAGCAACATTTTGGGGTCCAGGGGCTGCATCCTTAACCATCAAGATATCCCACCTCGCAAAATCTCCAACTTTAAGACGCAACCCGTAGGATCGATTTCCCATCACGATCTCCCCCTCGTCCCATCCTTCAGCCCTTTTCCCTGGGTGCCCCCTTGTTCTCTGCTGGCAAAGGGCAGGGCTCCAGGGTCAGGTGACCCAGGTTCAAATCACACGATCCTAAGCTTTCTGTGCCTCCGTTTCCCTACCTACGGAAAGGGCAGCTAGTAAACGGGCTGGTGTGTGGGCTGAACCGGTTCTAAAGAGGGGAAGGGCCCGATGCAGCGCTGGGCGCCGTTATCTCCTCCCCAGCGGGGGCCGCTCCGAGTTCGGGAGGAATGAATGAACGACTGAACCAATGAGCCTTTGTGGAAGCGGCCCGCCGTCTCCCGGTCTCTGAGGGCGAGGAAATAGGGGCGCCGAGCCCGGGAGGCCGCAGCCGGCCACCCAGGCCAACCT